TAAGCTTTCAGATCTGAAATCAAATTTCACTCTAACCCTGGGTTATCTTAACCCACCTTTGAACAACCCAGCCCAGCTAAATAAGATGCAGGCTAAAATTGAATTATTTGTTTCATCAATGTTTAATGTGAGGCCTTTTTCCAAACCAATGTTAAATTTACCCACATAGTTTTTTTAATAATGCTATTTCATTAGTAAACATTTTTCTCAAGTAACTAATTTTAAATATAACTTTCCAATGTTGCAATTTTTTTTTAGGTGCAAAATTTAAAGCTGATGACATTCACGCAGCCCTACTGACATATTTGAACTCAGAATCACTCACAGCCCTAGACAGGCAGCTTTGTTATGGGTTTATAAAATGGATTGTCAGTGTTATATGAATCTAAAAATTGATTCAAGTAAGTTTTTTTAATCATAATGTACAACATGATAACTTCAGTTTTCTGAGTAGCAATGATTTCTACTGCAATGTTTATCTAACCATATAACCAGCCTTCTGTCAATGTATTATTAAAAATTTTTTTGAATAAGGGGGGATGGATGAAATGCTCCCTAATGAAAAAAGAGGATTATAATAATGCAATCAACATTTCATTGACCTTTTGTCTTTCTTTTCAAATCTATCTAGAGAAGAAGGCAGGGGTTTGTTTACAGGGAGAAGTGTGCATAACTTTAAATGCATAGGATGATAATACATTGTGACATGCAGAGAATATTTACTATTAATAGCATTTATAATTTTAGTTTAGATTTCGTTTAGGTGATTAAATCATTCTTTAAAATTAAGCAAGTTAACTTTCCACACCTTCTCTTTTTGAGGATGGTAAATTATTTAGGCTAATATATGACATGCAGCAATCTGGCAACATTTAACATACACCAACTTGAAAATAATGATGTGGAATCATAAGAATGTTGAGCACTGTCATTATCACTGATTTTCATCTGTGAAATTTTTATTGAAATCCCCCAAGTTTAAGGTGACCACTGTTGTCATTAAGATTGAAACACTAATATTAAAAATTCTGTCAGTAGTAACTTGTAAGTCAGGTAATTTTCTCCTTCCAACAGCTGATATGTGAAGACAAATAAGGTTAACTAAATGTTCACCTTCTTTGTTTTCACATCTCAGCTGTAGATATACCTTAACCCTTTAACTCTCATGCGTGACCAAGACAGAATTTCTCCTTACAATATTAAGCAGACAAATAATGACAATAAAAATATCAATTAGGGGATTATTGGTTGATCCAATATAAAATTCTCCAAACCAACATAACAAGAACTGTATGGCAGACAGTAAGGAGAATTACTAATGAGATCTTGGGAGTTAAAGGATAAGTATGACAAGATAATCTGGTTTCATCAACTGATTTTATGATGTAAATTGGCCACCATAAAGAGTTTCTAATAAAAGCTATCAATAGTAGCCAATTTACAATTTATAGACTCAATTGATAAAGCCAAATTATCTTGTCCCAGCACCACAGTTTTTTTCATTAGAATCATATATTGGCAAAGTCTCCTGAAGTTGTAATTTTATTGTCTTCATTTTACGACTGACTTTAACAAAGCAATGAGTTTGTTAGTTTTCCTATTAAAATTTTCCTGGCTATAGTTCATCAACCATTTCTAGCCTTCACATTGAACAAGACATGTATGAAAAATAACTTTTTAAAAATATTTAAATCCAAATGGTATGTTCACATTTCTAAATTTCTGCCAAGTTCCTTTCCAAGCAACCCATTAATAAAATTAAAATACTCTCAACTTGTGAACAACCATACAAAGCATTTACAAAATTCTATAACTTCCGAGGTAAATTTACACAGTGGGAAAAAAAGTCCACTTGAAATAATTTATTGCTAATAGTGGCCGCTAAAAGTGACATTTAAAAAAAGAACTAGCCTGAAATCACAGAGTGACATTATTTTGGTTGTTGCTTTAAATTACAGCTGCATTTGTAAAACCAAGGTTATATACATACATCCAAATTATAGTCAAGAATGATCATCGTTATTGCTGATAAGTACTATATTGTTGTGCTGAATTAATTTTACTGCCATCTTGGTCTGTCTGTGAAAGATCTTGAATTCCCTTTTTTTGGCCTGAAGGGTGAAATCAATGGATAATCATAAACATGTTAGGGCTAAAAACTTGCAACTACAGCTTATACAATTTAGTTTGAATACTTGATGAATTGTTTTAAACTGAGCTGCAAATGTTATAATTATCAAGTAGATAATTTTCTAATAATATATCTTTGTCCTTATTGTGTTTCATGTTGCTTTGCACTGTAAGCTAAATAAATACTGTAAGAGTTCCAAAGCTTTGGATACATGTTGTGACAGCTGTTTGGAGTTCCTATCTACTAAACTTTAAAACCTTTCCATGAAAGGCCCAGTTAAATGGGCCCATACATTTTGAAGTTCATGTATTGGTGTCATCTCAAAACAATCAGATTAGTTGCAGAATTGTAGTCAATTGCATGCTCACTCAACATGCATTTTTTTTCAGTTTTCTGTCACATAAAAGAGATGCCACATAATTTATACTCCTGGCACAGGTTGTTTCAAGGGTGGATAATGCTGTCCACTGGATAAATCCCTATTTAATGTACAGGGCAGTACATTCTGGTTAACACTTAACCACTGGATAGTGATTTATCTGCACTTTTCAACAACTGGGCCTAATGGTCAGTGACAAGGAGAGGTGAATGTGATAGTAATGCTTCTTTTCCAAAAGCCAAACAGGATAATTTATGGTCAGCCTTGAATATGCATGGAAAGAATACCAGGTTTTATTGTGTCACACACCTGTTTCAACATGCCCTCTAACATTTTAATCAAATCTTTGTTTTTGGTAAGTTCTGGTAAATGGCTCTAGAAAAATAGTTGCAAAACAAAATTATGAATTAACCCGTTCTTTAACTCCCAAGATCTGACTATTAATTCTCCCCTCCAGCTGCTACACATTTCCTTGTAGATTAGTAATGAGAATTTGGTGTAAAATCATTACAACAAATTCTAGCAGATAAGTTCGAACATTCTCATAATGTGTTTGCTGAAAAATGTACAGATATTTCAGAAGTTGTATGTTGATCACTTTTGGGAGTTAAAGGGTTAACTAATCTTAAACTAACAACTCTGAAGTCTTGCTGAAGAAGCAAGATGTTTGACTTGTAATTTTTTCATAGCACCTTTATTAATGAGCTAGTGATTGTTCACCAATACAAATTTGTTTTAAGCAAAGACACCTTTTTGGAGCTTTACATTTTTTTGTAAACTGCTGTGAGGCGAAAAGTTTATGAATAGAACTTCTTTGCCATTCAAAGTATTCCAATTGGTTATTGAAACAAAATATTTCAAAGTGATTTGGGGCTTTTCAAAAATGGATAGCCTTAGTCCCAGAAATACTTGTCATGAGCTACATAGACTGTACCAGTCCTATGAATCACTTACGATGTACGTGGTACAAAGTTTCTGCTTGTTCCAATTGAGGTGCTGCTCATTGCCCTTCTCAGTCCATTGAAGTGTTTCTTGACTTTCTTAGAATGTAACTTGTCCAGCTGCAAAGTGCTAGATGATCTTGATGGTCCTCTGAGTGCTTGGACATTCTCTTTTGTGGAACTGAAAACTCTGAAAAAAGTGTTTTTCAATAGTTGGGACTAATAGTGAACCCTTTGACTCCCTTGGGGTGAATAGCATCTAATTTCTCCTTACAATACCACCACTGAATCCCTCATTAAGGTTAAGGGAATAAAGGAAGTGATCACACACTAAAGAAGCTCTTGATTGTTTTAGAACTTCTCCTTGTCAGCACCTTAGGAAATGTATAGAGTGCAGTATTGAGAATGTACATACTGATGTTAAGGTGTCAATAGAGAAGACAGAGGTTATCCTGCAGTCACTGTTCTTGCAACCCTCTCAGTTGTACATGTTGAAAATGAATATGAATACTTGTTTGCATATGCTATGAAGAATAGTGAAATCAAGAGATGTTAGATATAAGGGATCCCAATTTTTCCTCCACTCTAGAGTTGAGTATTTCAACCACAAGAAATTTGCTTTCAATGGCAAAATTCATAATATTGTTGGAAGGACCATACTGATACAAAGCATGGTGTTTTTCAACTGACCTCTTTGGCAGCATGTCTTTCACTTCCTGGCTGCTGTTTGATTTTTCTGTGTAAGAAATTAGATACCACACATTGAGGACCTGAGACTCATTTCTCGAAGGTTTATGTAACTTACTAGGCCAGTAAAGCTATTCTGTTTTCATCCAAGACAAGAGTTTGAAAAGTTTTGATATGGTATGTAGGACTTAGTGCCTGTGACAGATTCAATGGTAGCTCTAAAATACAGCCTTGATAAACCTTTACCTTTTTTCAAAAGATTACTTTGACTCAGCACAGATGGCAACTGATCTTTCTGATTGTTTACTGTATTTATTGACAGTTCTTTGAGAGGTGTTGTATTGCTTCTTGATGGAAGTGGTGTAATCTGTAAGAAAACAATAATGACATGAAGAAAATTTTGAATTAACCCTTTAACTCCAGTGAGTGACCAAGAGAGAATTTCTCCTCACAGTTTCAATGCACCATCAAGCAGACAAGTGATGAGAATAAAGAAAAATAGCAATCATGGGAGTTTTAGTCGATCCAATACCAAATTCTCCAGACTAACATTACAAGAATTATATGGCAGATAGTAAGGAGAATTACTGTGGAGATCTTGGGAGTAAAAGGGTTAAAGAGCATTGTCTCTGTAAGACAACTCTCATGTCTCAGTTCTCCTCCAAACTAAGAAAGTGAGAAAGTTATTGTGGCCAGGAAAAGGAAGTTAATACATTTTGAATGTAAATTCTTCTCAGTGTCTTTCAATAGGCTAAGCATGCAAACTCTCAGGTTCCAAGCCAAACTTTAAAATTCATTTCCTACTTTCATAAGTTAATGTCATAACAGAAAATTATAAGAGTAGAAACCAAAACAAAATGAATGAAAATGTGTCAATCACAACTCAAGAGCAGCATCTTTTTCAGAGGTCCACAACATGACTGACTACAGTGTGTATGTTATTTTTATATCTGTAATTTGCATGGTATTTTAAAAGTGCAGTAAATATGGATACTTCTAATTACCTGTCTTGCATCCTTTAGTTGATTTTTATCTGCTGGAGTTTCATCTAGAGCTTGTATTCCTGACAGATTTAAGTCTCTAGAGACTCTTACAGGTGTGCTATTACCTAAGTTGTTATGTGCAGTATTACATGTTAGTGAGGAGGACTTTGTTTCAACAGGACTTTCACCCCAACAAACTTTGGGATGGGGAGTTGCCTTTCTTGGGGCAGATGTTGATTGCTCATTTACATTGTTCTTGGTGTAAAACATTGCTGGTGACTTTAAACAGTTGTTACTGTTTAAAGGTAGGAATGGTGAAGCTGATGGAACTCGTGAAGGTGTTACCAGTGTTTGATCCTTTGGAATGCTACTGGTTACACCTGGTGTAGCCATCTTGGGTCTCTCAAACCCTCCTCCAACTGAGTTTGTTGATTTTCCTAGTGACTGTGTTGCCTCATACTCTTTCATCAAAGAAATGCAAGTATCTGAATTCTCTAATGTTGGTTGAGAACTGGTTGTGATGATCTTTTGATGTTTAGAAGTGTTTCTGCAAGGTGTCATGTCACTATAAACATTACTGACTGGTGTGTTGAACTGACGTTTTCTGATAGGTGTTCTTGATGGTGGTGTTCCTTTTGTGACAGAAATAATTGTTAATATAAGAAAGATGTCACTTGTTTTTATCATTTGCAGATTGTGGTTTGAACTTGTCAGTTTACATAGTTTATCAAAAACACTGTAATTTATTTTAATAGCCATTGACTTTTGAGACCTCTAGATTAAACCTTTGCAGACAATAGTGAGAAAATATTGGTCTAGGTAAGTCAGGGAAAGTACCTCACTGAACTAAAAACTTTCATGCCAGGTTTCTATAAACTGGAAAGTAATGATTTAGTATCCCATGCTAATACATAACATTTCTTGCTACTGAATTTACAACTAGCACTACAATATAGTTTTTACCATATCCTAAGTTAATTTTATTTAGACACTTTGTGTTCCCTACTCACCAGCAGTTGGCAGCAGAAAGCTTACATTAGATGATGTTTTATCAAAGCAGTTACTATCATTCAATGTGCTTTGATCAGCCCATGTCACCTCGCGGCCCTTTTCAACTGTTTCAATAATAGTGTTGTATTCATCCATCAGCTCCTGGGTTGTGAGACCAACACCTTTTAGAGCAAAAAACTGCTTCTGTACCATTCCTAGTAACTTTTCAACCAGTCTGGAAACAAAACAAATTTAAGAGGTATGTCTGTATGTAAGGTCACTGTACAGGAAATCACCACCATCAGTTGTAGCAAGAGACTGATGACTGGTCTAAGTACAAGAAAATTCAAGGCCACTTATTTTACAAACTTTTATTTGTGCAGAATACTGTACACATAAAAGTGGAATTTGATCATCGGGATTTGAAGATTTGCAAGGAAAATGTTTTTTTCTGTTGTGATTATTTTACTGACTTGTGTCTACCCTTTAAAACAATGCCTTGGCTTTTAATTTACAGGAATTACATGTATTAGGTGGTAAGGCAATGCTACATTTTTAGTTATCATTTTGTGTCGGTAAAGGATCTGTCAATAGTGGTTAGAGATTAGTTTTCTTACAACAGTTTTCCGCGTGAAAGTCACTGTCAGTAATATATTATAATTATAGTGATTTACATTATCAATGCTCCCTAGTGTAGGCATGCTCACCTTTCTGTACTCTGAGCATCTTTTTCTAAAGCATGAATGTGTCTCTTGTAAAGCTGACAGTTTCTTCTCAGCTCCATATCATCTAGCTTTGACTGAGCTTCTGACTGGCATTGATCAAGTTGAGTTTTTGCACCCATGTCAGAGTCAAGATGTGTCATCTCTGATTTAATTCTGTCCAACCACTTAGTGTTTTTTGCTATTTGTTCCTCAAATTCAGATTTTTTGCAGGCGAGGTATTTTTGCTTGGATTTAGTGGAAGATATACATGTTTCAACTTTAGACAACACCTGTGAAGTGGGAATGAAAGAGAGGTTATCAAATATTAAATGTTTAGCATTGATCACCCAGCACAACTTTAATGTTTTATCACTGAATGCGGTAAATGCATGGAACACAATTTAAATTTCAAATATACCCTGATTCCAAAATGTTGTTACCCAATTTTTAATTCATAAACAAGTAATGCATACAACTCATTGCCTGTGATTTTGGATTATTGCAAAAGTTTAAAAGTTTGAAAACACTGCACCATCCAGCATTTTTCCAAGGTGTCACGTACATCTAACAGAAAGTTGATATAGATGTAATTCACAAGGCATAATAAAATTGTTAATTGTGGAAAATTTGGATTGCATTAGTTGGTTGAGAGCAAAACTGTTTTCATAAAGATGGAAGTAAAGTCTAAAGTAAGATACCGGTGAATCAATTCTTGAAGATGATTGATTACCATAGCTAAATCAAAGTTTTACATTAGAGATCTGTTGGCAACAAGCATGTTTAATGAGCAGTTTTGGTTCGCTTAAAGTGTTTGATACCTCATTGAGCTTCTGCCCTTCAACACACACAAACTGCATTCTTTTTAAGGAACGTTCCTAGAATAGATCAAATGTGTAAAACATGAGTTGTAAAAATAGCTGAAAAAAATCTGAGAAAAATTGTAAATGGCAACTTGATTGACCTACTAAACAAGAACAAGATGAAGTTATGTTGAATGAAAAATATTTGGTAACTGCTCTTTTCATTAATATATAAATCATATGTCATGTTGTGGACCTCTCAAGAAACATACATGTTTAATGTTCAAGAAGGTTTTTAAATTTCATTTTTGTGAGTGGTGATTGGCTACAAAATGCCTCGTAATCCTTGACTGACATGAAAATCTGTTGCACCCTTGTCTGATGTCAAAATTTTCAGAAAGCAGAATTTAAGCAAATTATTTAGTTTTAATTAATACAGGTACATTGCTCAAATTTATTCAATTTATCTCTAAATTTTGACAGTTCAGTTCTTGACTTGAAATAGTACAATATAACCTTGATTGAACTACTATGACAGATAAGGTTAGTAAATTAAATACAAATGATAATAAAGTGTTGTTGGAATATTTTATTAATATTAACAATTAATGACAAAATTCAAACCTTTCTGTGCAGTCTGATTTGAAGGTCCCTGTCAGCTGCCTCAATGTCTATTATATTTCTTCGTACTGCCATTCTCTCTTTCATGACACTCTTTAAGCTTGAGCATAATCTGCCAAATAATTTAACCCATTAACTCTCAAATCAAATTTGTATTTCTCCTTACTGTCAACCATACGATTCTTATAAAGTTAGTTCAGAGAATTTAGTATCAATGATATTTTTCTTTATTCTTGTCACTTATCTGGTTGACATTGTATTGATATTGTAGGGAGAAATTTTGTCTTGGTCACTCATGTGAGTAAGAGGGTCAAAAAAAAGTCTAACCTCTTAGAGATACCTTAAGTTGTTAGTAGTAAATTACCCATAAATAATATCAAAGTTTTTTTTAAGGATATCAATTCTGATCAATACCTTTGCACTTCTTCCCCCTGCTTAGTGGAGTCTGTAGGTTTAATTGGTAAAACTGGTCCTGATTCAGGACTAAAAAGCTTCTTTTTAAGCTCAGAGATCTGAAAAATATGGTATAACTAATTTCAAGCTCTGGGCAAACAAGGATTCCACACCACATTATCTCAATTCATTTCTATCAACACAACAAGTAAAGAAAGTTCAGCCAATTTTAACAAGCATTTAACCCTATAACTCCCAGATCAAATTTTTAGTTCTTCTTACATACAATTCTTATAATGTTAGTTCAGAGAATTTAATACTGGATCAACTTATTATCCCCAAATTGATATTTTTCTTTATTCTCATCACTTATCTGGTTGATATTGTGTTGATATTGTAAGGAGAAATTCTGTCTTGGTCATTCATGGGAGTTAAAGGGTTAAATGAGACCAGTGCATTACCTCAAGTCGTAACTCCTCCACAATCTTTGCATAGCGACTCACATGCATGTCCACTGACACTTCATTTTTCACCACCTTACATGTTATGTTCATTGCACGGTCTGCATACTTTAAGGTGTTATATGTATCTTCATAGCTGAGGCCTGATGGGCTGTAAAAAGTGATAAAAATGTTAACCCCAAATGAATGTTATCATTTTATTATTTATAAATATTTAATTATTTATTTGTATAACATTATTTCAATACATTTTATTTGAATTAAATTTTATTAAAATATTTTATATCATTCATTATTAACAAATAATTTATCAGTAATAGTAATTATTAAAGGGTTTAAGTCAGTGAAAGATGGTGGTAGTATTGAGGGAAAGAAAATCAGTTGTTTCTAAGACAGCTAGGGTTTTTCACTTGTTCCTCCACTGACCAAGAACCGACAAGTCTACCTGACTGCTGCTATCATAACAGTTCTGCAGTTTCCTCCAAGGGAATCTTTTAGAAGTCTTGTCAGTTTGCTGTCTCTGTATGGAATGTGCCCAGATTTGTTCTACAGAATCACAAACAAGTTCAAAGGTTAACAGGGAAGTAGTTAGGGCCAAGTTCATTTGGGGAGATGAGCACAAGTGTTAGACAGAGTTTGATTATTAGCTGATGATTAAGAAAAAAATGTTTTAATATTTCCTCTTTAAAAAAAAAACATTTATTTAATTCCTACTCCCAGGAATGTACTGGTTGTACTTCATGTAATACCTAGTGATTGATGGTTGATTGTTCATGAATCTCTCTTACTTTTTGTCTTACAACAGATTCAAAATACAAGATGCAAGATCAAAAGTTAAGAATATTGACTCATCACCTCTTCAAAATACATGCTCAAACATTTTGCTTCAATTGGGCCTAATATACAGAACTATTCATAGTGCTTTTGGTGTCATTCCATTAGGTGTAATTTTTATCTTGTGATTCTGTATTGATCCTGTGCTAACTGTGTATTCATTTCATTCCTTTAGTGTTTGTGCACTATCACGTGCTATCCTCAATAAATAAAGTCTTCTTCAATGTTAAGAAAAAATGCCTTACGCTTGTGATTACCAAAAATAAAAGACATAAAAAAAAATTGGAAATTCACAGGAAAATGTTTCTTTGATCACTTGGTGGTGCCAATTCACCAAGGGGAGTGCCCCAAGTTAATTGTGACCATTTTGGTGACTGTGGTGAGTTAAAAATATATCCAGCAACTAAAATTTTGACAAGAGTCCTTAAGTGGTGACCAACAGATTTGAAAAAAAAAGATAGAGAAAGAAAGATTTATCGTTCTTTGTTCAAATTATCAAACAAACAAATGCATGCAAACAGTCCCAGATCCCTAATATACAGCAACTTAAAATGAGCAGGGATCAAGTTGAACTAATTTTGTTGAGATAAACTTCATTTCATACTATGACCAAATTTTTTTTTTTGAGGCAAACATTTTACAATTGAAGGTAACTGAAAGGCGAATTTGTGATAAAATGAACTTGGAGCACAAGTGAGCCCGCTCCTAGCTGCTCATTAATGGCAACACAGTAATTTGAGTTACCTCTTTATCAGCAAGTGCATTAATGCAGTTGCCAAGAGCCAGTAAGGATTTGTTGATGTTGGCCCCCTCTCGGAATCGTTCACCTCTGTTGGATGTCACTATTGCTCTCTCTGACCCTGCCAAGTCAATCAAGGACATTTTTCCCATGGTAAAGTTTGTTTGCAATCCTGCAGTTCGGTCCTTTTGTCGAACAAACACCTAATAAACACAATGATATAGGAAAAAATGTTTCCACATACAATGTGAGAATATGTTTGAATACTTCCAAGTTCAAGTGAATCCCATATATCTATTACTACATATTAAATCACTTATATCTGCTTAATATAAAAACTTTGGGGATTAAATTTTGAGCAAAAGCAACCCAATTGGCAGCCTGCACTTGGGGGTCATGAAGCAAGCTGTAACTTTTAAATAATCATTCAGTGTTTACAGTTTTATCCTTTAAACCCTAATAGTGACCAGCATATAATTTTTCCCTTACAGTAATACTACCGAATCACTTGTTACGATAATGAGAATATTCTCATTCAGTAAATGGTTTGAACCTGGGGGTAACATGTAATAGTGTAGTTTGATCGTCCGGGTGAGTGTAGTCCTGAGAAGGACTGTTGTCAGCAGTGGTGACTAACGTTTCGACAACCTGAGCAGAAGTCATCATCAGCAGTCACTTCTGCTCAGGTTGTCAAAACGTCAGTCACCACTACCGACAACAGTCCTTCTCAGGACTACACTCACCTGGACGATCAAACTACACTGTTAAATATTCTCATTATTATGATATTCTCATATTATGATCGCCACCTTAAGAATCTTTGATTGTTAAACAAATTCTCCCTGTTAGTACCAAAGGAAATGTATAGAGAAGGGTATGGAGAATATGGATACTTATGTTAGGGTGTAAGGGTGAAAGTCAGAGGGTGTTACACATTTGCTTGGAATGATATGTTCAAAAAATGTACAAAAATGTCATTTTCTACTTTTTTCCCACCAAGTAAAATTTTAATCTTTTGGAACCATTTATTGCAATCATGATTCTAGGTTGCAAATTAGCAGCTTTTAAATCAGCACTGTGTTAACATTCCTAACACTGAATTGTATTATTACCTGGAAAACAGCATGGGATCTTGAAGATTGTGCATTTGCATCTGTGGGATGTTGAGTGCGGTTGTTGTTTCCAAACTCCAGCATCCCCAGCAGTTCTTCAGCAGAAGTTGGCTTGAAAAGACAAGGAACATTTAGTATTTATTGAATTTTCAAACACAGGGGAGAGGACTACATATACTTGACTTGTTCTTGCAACCAGTTTGCTCTGAACCAGTCCATTTGTGCTCACTTTGTTCAAATTAAGAGGATTGAGGGTTGAGATCATGAAAAGTTGGCCCCCCAACACGTTCCAAAATTTAAAGGCTGTGCTCTGGAAGGATTGGCCAGTGCACAAAGGTTCTAATCATCCAAAGTCCCTAAAGGAAAAAGTTGAGAGCCTGTTGCACCTGGCCTGCCAGGACATCCAATGTGTTTCACTATTTTGGTAAAAGTTAAAATCTTGGAGACTCATAACATTAAGTTATGGCTGGCTCTTGGTGAGAAATATCAGAGGGACTAGTGTCTTAGCCTTTTCACTGCATGCATATCAACCTTAATGATCACATTAAAGGAGACATGCGAATGGAAATAGGTATTTTTTAACAATACTGCTCAGAAATTCACTTTTTGGGATGAAATGTAATGCAAATAAGGCCACTTACCTTGTGAAGTGTAAGGCCACTGACACACACTCCCCTCTGTGGATCTTCTCTCACAGCCAGAGGCTTGCCAGGCATTAAGAGGTCTCGGATCGTTTCATTGTAAACCTGCAGTGGCAACAGTCAAACTTACAGTTGGATCCTACACTATACATGTACCATACAGCTGTACATGTATATGTATTTCCTGCCTGTGTTAACGACCTCTAAATCTCAAAAATTGTTGGACAGCACACAAGAGTGAAGCCAAAGGGGGGGGGTATATGCACCTCACAACCTCTAAAGTGAAAATGCTGCCCATGCCTGTGTAGCCTGGCTAGGTCCTCATTGCGATGAAATGAACAAAAAAAAAGCAGGCACATGAGAAATTGCAGTGGTCAGGTAAATAAAATAATTGGGGTTACCTGGCCATTTCCCTGAAAACCACAGCCCCTCATCTCTGCTTGTCAGTGAAAAGGGAGAATCCCTGAGCTCATTACGTCTTCCCCTTGCCAGGGTCTCACACTGATTTATGATAAGTTTGTATTACCGGCAGTGAAGTTGCAAATCAAAGCTGTATACAACTTTCGACTCTCCTTTAAAGAACTGGTCCTTCTGGCTTGGTTGAACACGTATTATACATTTACATACAGTACCTCAAGATACGAGACAGCTACGTCTGAGATCTTGTCGTCCTTCGAAGCGTTGATTCTGCTGTACAATTCCATCATCGTTAGAAACATTACTCCAGGGTTAGATTGATCTCCTAACATTGTGAAAGTTTTTCCTGCCCCTGTCGCTCCGTAGGCGAACACAGAACAGTTATAGCCACCAAGAACTCCATCTACGATCGTTTTAGTTGTGTGTTCGAAGACATCTTTGTTACTGGACTCGTAATCGAACACTCGATCAAACATGAATCTCAAATCCCTAGCTCTTCGCGTCAGGAACTGTGGTTGCCTTCGGGGTCGATCGCCGGACAGATAATCTACAGACTCTTCTTTTGGATCAAAAACCAGCATTCTTTCGTCCATAACACGAACAGCCGTGGAAGATTGCTTGTAGAGTTCCATCTCGTTCGCAGGCCTTACTCGCACAACAACTTTCATATTGTTATTTTTGTCTTTTACACCGTTCACTTGTGATCGCCTTGCAGTTGACGATCGTTTACGACGGAGACAGTTGTCAGAGTTTTGGACCATCTTGCTTTTTATAATTTAAAATACGCTTTAAAATTCTCTCCTTGTCTTTCTTTCATTAGGCGATTGATCGGCCAAGCATCCATACGACAACAAATTTGAATTTCGAACGTTTCAGTAAACTCTTTCCGGATTGGTCAAAAATTATGAAGCGGTTTTTGTTACGTACCGGGGGAGTGGGAGGGGAGACAAGAACTCCCTAACCTACAGCATAGGCGTCCTATTAGGGCGAGTTGGCGCTGGGAAGCTCGCGAACGTTTATTCAACCGTCCATGTCTGTTTGGAAATAGAGTCGACAGTCGCCAAAATTACGCCTGCCCTGCACTCCCCCACTCCCAATCCTCTGCTTATTTTTGACCGTCACTCACCCTCTTGGTACAAATTTATTTCTCTCCTTAGTCTTCCGCCCTAAGAAGCGGCCATAACTTTCGCCAAGTAGATGCTGAGCACTCGACCGCCAAAATTACGCCTGCTCTGAAGGCTAAGAACTACCTGAAGTTATGCCTTTCGGAGCTAGAATAAAGTTTATGGCACTAGGCAGGTTATCTTGCAATATTTCGCGGATTGTATTTTCTCAGAAAGTTCGAAATTCCTCACATTTTTTTTCAATCATATTTTATTTGTTAGCGTGGCGGGGGATTGAGGTGAAGAATATTTTGTGAACTCTTGTCGTAGCGTGAAATTGCTTAAATAAATGAATAAACACCCCATCAAGTATTACAATAATATTACAGGTACGATCAGGTATTAGCTCCACGGTAAGGCTCTATCCGACAATATGAACCATCTTTTAAAGAGCCCTTGCAGTTTTTAGCAACTAAAAAAACCCCAAAACATTAGAATTTGAACATGTTCAGTCTATTTTACTTTCTATTTATGACTGTGATGTCAGTGATTTCTGAAATATGAATCGGAAATAAATGGGCACCTCTCTTGAAGAAAACGCTGCGACGTTTAATCGTATAAATACGAAAAGAAAAGTACAGCGGCTTGCTTGATTTCGAGGACGGCGAAGTAGTAAAGGATATACGGTGTAACTTTTTATTTTATTTGTTACTTTTTAAGCGAGTAGACTCTTCGGCGAAGTCAAACCATTGGTATGAAGAGAAACTTTAGAGGGGTCTTAACGCGTCTCTGAAAGGATAGTTGACGCCAGCGCCAAGCGCAACCTCGCACGACACTGATTCGTATAAATCATATAAATTGTCATAGCCTAGAAGCTATTTTTGCCAGAATATGAGGTAACAGTTCAAACAAAAATATCAAATATGGTATTGCACCTGCCGTGGGCAAAAAGGGGGGGTTATGATCAGTCAAGCGCCTACAATTTGCGTCTTTATATTTTGCGTATCAAATTTTTAATTTCATTTATGTGCATTCATATTTTTAAGAATTACAATGCAAGTTAAATATTTGCTAAAACTCTAATTTTCTGAAAAAATATACACATTTTTACAGTAGAAACTCAATTGTGTTTTAAGGTGTTCTTGATAAATTTCTACATACATTTCTCTCGGCTATTAATTCTTACACGGCATTTCTCATGTGAGGTCATTTGTATTACTAGGGTTAAATTGTTGAAACAAACGACAGGATTCTTGTACCTCCAAATGTTTCTGTTTCAAGATAGAGCGAATTCGAGTGTGTCTTAAAACCAAAACTATGTACCTACACCTGCCAGTCAGAAAAAGAAGAAAAAAGTTGAAAGAAGCTTATGAGAACTCAACGTAAAGCGATGTCGGCAACTGCTTCGAGCGTGGAAAGCAAAGAGAGGCTAAGGCATCTAATTGTTCTGCTGATTGGTCGGGAGGAGGGGCACGCGAGTCTTCTCATCCAATCTCTAAGAGAGCGCACAAATCCAATATTGACACACACCCCTGCACAACTTCGTAGCCTGTGCGTGATTCTGTCGAGTCAAAAAATTGTTCATCATTTAGCGAAAACGAAGGGTTTTGGATTTAAAAAACCCTTTTTACCACTCGCTACATGGTTCGCTTCTTGAAGTTTCTCCAGCAATTGTTCAACTTCGTCTTGTTTCTCTGTAGCATCACTCTCCTTCGGTTGAGTTGACCTCAGGGAACCCAGTCTTTGAAGTCGAACCTTCCCTGTCATTCCAAACCTCTGGGGAGTCACTTGCTCTGAGCGCAACTTTCGGGTCGTCAGAGAATGACCATCGCTGATGTTGGATGGCATTGATGAACCAAATTCCTGAACTCGGACTTCGCCGAAGTCTAACAAGGTGTCCGTTCTCTGTAATCTCTCCATTAACGTGTTGTATATTGAATCTAATTCCGGAACTTGTTTTCGTGGTGTAATGACTAGTTCTACTGGAGTGGAATCTGCTGGTTTGACCGCAGTTGTACTGTTTTCTGGCATCTCCTGTTAGATCACGAATTCAAACATACATTAGAGTACTAACTCTCAACCTCGTCGGCCCAGGCTTTCTCTCTTCCCTGCACCGAAAGCTGGAGGGAGCTTTCTCGTTCTCAGAAGCCTCGTTTCTTTCGAAGAGAAAAGACGAGAGAGACCTTACAAACGAGGTTGTACTGTCACTCTCTTTTTGAGAGTGACACGCATTTGAAACATTGGAAAATCTAGCTTTAGCAGCTCACTTCCTCCCTGATAAATACCATGGCAGACCAAAAGAAAAGGGCCTGTTCACGACTTATGATCACCTCACGACTCACGCGCTTGACTTAAGGGAAACGGAAATAACTGTGACACAGGTTAGCGCGCAGAGTCTCGTCGCTAATTTAGCGCGCCGTTTTGAATCACTAATAACAATTTATCTATTAAATTTTAACCGCCTGCTCTTCAAATCCTGAATACTGCGAGCTTTCAAGGAGAGCGATCAAAGGAGAATTCAGCCTAGAGATTTTCAGAATAAGAAATGCAGCAATCGCACAAATTCACTTTGAAGCACACTGTCGTTTACACTTCGTCAACTTGGCCTCTGGCCTCAAATGATAAAATGGCATAAATACCTTAACCTTGGACTGCCTGGAACCTAAAATTCAAGCAAATGTTTCTCAATAACAGCATGGATATCAGTTAAAGTAACATAAATGAACGAGAGTGTTTTGCGCTTAAATAAATCAGCTAGTTTATTAACATTATCTGTAACTTTCTCGACAAACAGAACATACTACACACTGATTTTCTTTTTCTTTAGAATCGTATTCAAAAAGGAAAGTTACATTCTGATGTACACAGATCAGAGATAAAACTGATCGTCATTCAGTTGGTACTTATGATTGGCTGTTCTTTGTGCGTGGAAAGTTAAAATCAGACACCAAATTGATATCTGCGGAATGTCACCAGGAAAGACGTCATGAGAACACTGCTTTAATAGCGCTCATGTAAATAATATTGTTTCAACGTTATTCAATCAAAAAGCTCTCTGACAGAACAAAGATTCTGATTGGCGAGTAGTCAACAAATATTACCTGTGGGAACGCTAAAAAAATTAAACCAATACAATCTCTGATTTCACAATTCAAGAGGGAATTTCCGTATAATCAAATATATTTGCCAGTGAGATCATCAACAACAATACCTAGATTACCTTCATTTTCCGGATTTTCGCTAGGATCTTGAAACAGTTTCAGCTTTTTGTAATAACCAGAGTACTTCTCCTTCATGTGTTTATCACTTCTTTGTTTTAACCTTTGGGACTGCAAAGAAAAAAAGATGGATTGTGTAACCTGTCACTTAGAATAATCCACTTTTTGATAACCTTACAAGTTTTTGCCATTAGGATTGGATATATATGAAAGCATGGCAGATTGTAAGAGACAAACCTGTGTTTCCATGTCCCACTGTAAGTTCTGTGACATCACATGTGAATTGTAGAGGTCCTATTAGGATAAACAAATTCAAAAAACTTAACTTGAACTGGCTTGTTCAAAACGTGATCAAGGTAACCCATTTTTAGACCCTCTGTTAGATGCAAGTCTTTGATTTATATTTTTCTCGCAGGCCCTCATTATCAGCGCTCCAGCACGAACGTTATTATTTTGTATGAAAGTATTTGGCCCGCTTGAGCAACGCGCGCTGGCGAGAAGTTCGCAAAGAGTGTAGCCTTACTTTTAGTGCCAGACTCCTAGCGAACCTCTCCCCCGACTTGTCTCAAATCTTCTTGCAGGCGGAGAAACGACCGTCCTGCGGCGCTAACAATGAGGGATTGCTCGTAAGCTGATAGCTTTCTAAATTTTTGTACGTTAGACAGTTATTTTACGAAATGTGTTATGTTTCCTCCAATTTGATTTACATAAACCCCTAACTCCCAAGGTCTGACAATAAATTCTTCACCCTGTCTGCCATCCATTTCTTGTCATTTTGGCACCGAGCATTTGATGTTAAATTTAAAAACTCCCCAAGTTGATATTATTCTTATCTCCTTGATACCTTTATGCTTGAAATTGTTTTTAAATTCCTTTTTGGTCGCTCCTGGGAGTTTTATGATTCAAGAAAAAAAGGAATTGAAATGTAGACTCTCCGACATGCATTCTTTAGCACAGTAAGGAGATATAGAAAATAAGCTAAAAATTCAAACCTAGATTAGAAATAACAGCCTTTGTACAATCAAATACTTCGTTACCCTTGGAGTTACTAGGATTCCCTGATGTCCAAGTTTTGAAGTCCTTGATAACTTTGCTGAAGTGGTTCCATCAAATTCTCTATAAAACTTGAAAGATCCTACTGATGAAGCACTTAATCTTGTTATGTCGATTTTCTGGTGTTGTTCCTCTTCTTTTGTAACTCCTTCATCTACAAATGCACAAACATCAGAGTGAATACCAGCCGAGTGACAATAACTATCACTCATGAGACCTCTTGAAATTGGGTTTTGCACAAGTGAAACACTCTTAAAAGCCTGTGGCAAACAGTCATGTCGTAGGAACAAGCAAAAAAGTTACTGCAAGGCTTCAGTGTTCTCCCTTTCAGGTGGTAACCAGTAATATTTACCACCTAATTTATAAGTCAAAGATTGCTTGAAATTCTTGAAAATGACAACAGCTAAAAGATTGCTCTTGACTACTGATTTGAAAATTTCAG